CTCCAGTTAAACTTTATTAAAAATATTTGCTCTTCTTGTAGAACACTCATGAAACAAGTGACTTGAAATCTAAGGTCCTACTGTACTGCACAAAAAGTAGCATTGTTGCCTTGTCAACATCAGCAGACTCATTAGTATGAGTTTATGCCATGGTGACTCATTAATACCTATAGTTTTGCTCCAATATCTTCTGCTGTTTTATCAGTTGTGTTATTATGGTGCTAACCAAAAGAGGAACACATGTCATCTTTTGAACTACAGTCTGTCCTGAAAGCTCAGGACAATTGTCCCTTGCAGTAGGCAGTATAAATCTACACCAATTGTAAATGTCTTCTTAGCTTCAGCAATGCTCTCAATGTAGACACATTTGATGAAGTAGTGGCCTTCAGTAGTTGCTTTGTTCTTTGTGTTCTCTTTTTAAAATGGTCTCCAAATGCTTGTATTTTAATGCAGGATCCTTGACCCCCATGTGGCAAAGCAGTTCTGCAAGTTTCATTGCTTCCTTGGATAGCCAGTTGCATGATAGATCCAAGTGCCAAAATTCAACATTTTAGGGTTCTTTTCATCCTACTGGTTTACCACTGGCCTGCAAGACAGCTTCTTCTGAGTACAGCTGATAATGGGTTTCCATTTGTTTGGTGCAAGATCCAAAGACCAGGACTTGATGTGCTCTCCATGTGCAAATGTGCAGAGAGATCAGGCCAGCAACAGCCTATTACCTGAAGCAGGTGGTAGCCACTGTCTTAATCAATGGCCCAATACCATTTGAGGTTCTACTCATGTATAGGGATCTGGTTGTAATACTCATCTGCTCATTTCAGGAGCCATCCCAGGTCCACATCTATGGGACTGTGTGTCTCTCTGCTACTTTAAAAGAAACCCCAGAATGAGCTAAATTGGCAGTGTGCTTTCTGTGGAAAAGACCAAGAGTGGAGCCTCCCATCTGAAGAGATAATGATAGATGTCTCAATAACACAGCATATACAGAGTTGGCCAGGGACTAGCTGCAGAACCATGGAAGAAGCAGTGGAAGGATGCTTGTATGTCATGGGCCAGGCTACCTCATACAGCAGCCACATGCTCCATCATGCTTTGTGTTCTGGAACCTGGGTGTTCCTGGCCCTTGCTCTGGGGAAGGGCCTCTATTACCCATGTGGTGGCTGGGGGGCATTTGTAGGGAAAATCCACAAATACTTCAGGGAACATCTCACTTGGACTCTTAAGCAAAGGCTAAGTGACAATGGGCTGTGGAGAAGAGGGTGAAATGGGGACAAAGAGAACAAGGATAAGGCAGAGTTGGGTGGCAGGATTCTGGTTTCTCCAGATTTGCAACTATCACAAAGGATTGGGCTGAAACTGATCAAAATCCTAATTTATAAACATTAGGGTGCATTGTTATTTCAAAATTATGGATAGTCTTGCAAATTGAGTAACATTTTATCTCCAGTTATGGATATCTTGGATCCAGGTATTGCCAATGCAGATGAATTTCCTGAAATTTCCAGGGTATATTTTCTGTTTAAACCATTTTAACTTAAATTTCTGATACTTGAGATGAAAGTTCTAAAACCACTCTCTATTTGATGCTTGCTATAGATTTCCAGTAGATGCTTCAAAAGAATTTAGAATAATGTTGCTTCTCTCTATTCTATGTATATATTATTATTTAAATCAGGTATGGGATTGAATTTAATTAAGTACCTTCTAGCATTTATTGAAATTAAATGGATTAATACATTTAGGCTTTTAGAACAATGTTTGACACATAGCTATGCCATATCTGAGTTAGCCATTGTTATTTTCATAACATTTTCCTCTTTCAATCTGTTAACGTAGTGAATTACATGCATTAATAGACTGATTTTCTTTGTCTATCTAACTTTAATAGATGAATTTCTCATATTAACTAACTTGGGTTCTAAAATTTCTTTTGGAGCCAAATTAATCATTTACATTTTCTTAGAATTTCAATCATATGTTCTAGGAAAATATCGATTTTTCTCATAGCCTCTGTTATTTTATTTCTCTCTCAGTCTGACTTGTAAAATATTTGTCTATCTTATTTATCTTTTTAGGGGGCAATGACCAGCTTTTGGTTCATTTACTGATCATTGATTTCTTGTTTTTAAATTAATTACTGTTGCCACATTGCGTGGAGGGATCAGATTATCACTACCTGAACTCATTGCTCAAACTTCGTATTTGTAAAAACAGTCTATTTTATATATTGGGCTTCTGATAGTATGTGATATGTATATTACTACTGTTTAGAACTACTCCTAACAACATTCTTGTGCTTGAACCTAATTAAGTCTTTAATAATTTACCAATATTGTAACTGGAGAGTAAGTTAAAGGGCACAAATAAATATACTCATGGGTTACTTCACAGAACAACTGATATAAGCCAAAGTAATTTTGTGGAAAAGAAGATGCTAGGTTAGGCTGAGAAAATTAAACATAGAGTTGTAAGAGCTTAAATAACAAACCAACCAGATGCTATATATGGTTCTTCTATCACAGCCTAATAGGGAGATCTTTAGAACTTACCAAAGGGGCAACTCACATGCTCATAACTACTGAGTAGTCTTTTCTCATCATTGCTATCGCTATATCTAAATGTATTCATCTTTCAGCTATCTTCAGGCACTATTAAAATTCTTGTTATTTCCAAGTAAGTCATATTCTCCTTTTAGCCAGTTTAGGAAGAAGTGTGGCATCTCCCTGTTGGACAAACTTAAACAAAGTGCTTTCTCTGTGTCAGGCCCTGTTCTGAGCATACAAATACAAGAAATGGAAGATGTCACGGATATTCATCCACAAGGTTAAGAGTCTTGGAGGATGCTTATGTCATTACAATTTCTTTTGTTTCTTTATAGGAGTCGAACTTTTTCAAGCTCTTCTGGGCTTTCCTTGGAAAGAGAAAGAAAAGTTTGCAATAGCATTTCTTTTTTCTTAGGCTATAGTGACTACCTATTTCGACATAGGGCTTTTCCTTGGCAGACAATCTCAGCAAGGAATCTTCAGTCTGAAGAAATAATCTCATATGACAGACTTGAAAGGTAGAGATGAATGTGAGATCCATGAAGACCTATGTTGAGGCTAAACAGAGGAAGTGCTAAGGTTACCATGGCATAATGAGCAGGAGTACAAGCCCAGAGGTACCCCTTAGCTCCAAGTGACTCATGTTCGTGTCCTATATAGCATGGCTCCATGTCCAAGGCTAGAAAAACAAGAGTCTACAATCAGAGCCTTGCATAATCAGATTAGGCCTCTCCAAAATCAAAATGAAAAGAACATTGGAATGACAACATGACTTGCTTTGTTAGTTTGATTTTTGTTCTTGGAAATAGGAACTGGTGACCAAACATTAAATGACCTCTCACTGTGACAAGATAAGGGCAATGAATAATAACTTGGCCTGCCATGATTTTTCAGAATATTTTATGAAAAATGAAATAAAATTGAGCCCCCATTGCTTTGAGAGAAGATCCTAAAATATTTTTAGAAAAAGACAATAAATCTTTCTGAATTTGGATGACATTATATTTAGGTACCTTATACAGATTGAAGAGCTAAGGCTTACAAACTCTTCCTTCTCATGATTTGCTTTTCTTTCCAGCACTCTTTTGTGAAGCATTTAAATAGGTATATCATACTGAAAATAGCATGAAAGTGTGGACTTGGCTCAAAGTCATTTTCATGTAGTGGAAAGTAAAACCAGGCAAATGTGGACTATAACATTTATGTGGACAAATGCTACTTTTGAAGTTGTCACAACTTTCCTGAGCTCCTGTTTTAAAAACAACCCGGTAGTGCGTGGGAAAGCATGTGGTATATAGTATTTAGGTTGAAAAGAGCCTGTACTACTCCTTGCTGTCCTCCCCAGCTTTGGTCGGGCGCCACTCAGAAGATATGTGTGATAGTGTGTGTATGTGTATGAAAGTTTAGGCCAGAATGAAATTGTACCACAGGTGATATTTATTCCTAAAAATGGCTGTCTGAGATTTTATTGACAATTCAGGAGTATCTATGGGTGGAATGAAGGCCGAGATACCTTGCTGTATATCTAAAATGTACATCTGAGAATTTTAATAACTCAAGAGATTCTTTTATTTGGCCTAAATGCACACATACATGCACACCCACTCACTTAAAATGATCTCTCAGTCATACCTGTATTTAGGGTTATCTCAAGTCACATGGAACTAAAAAGCGAAAACACTTACTGAGTCACATGATGGTGACTCTTAAAATATCTTTGTCCAGCAGATAGAGTGTAAAACAAAGGACATGAGCCAGAATACATTTTGTGATAACTTTTTATCTTCTCTTTAGAAAAAAAATATGTACAAAAAAGCTGAGAAGAGCCAACATGGAAATGTCAAGAAAAATATCTTGATAGACAAGGAGCTCCTTCTCTCAGAGGAGGTACACATTAGTTATCACCATGCTAGAAAAATGGGATGCAGTTAAAATTCTAGAACAGTTAAAAGTCACAAAGTTGTTGCTCTGGGGCTTTATGTTGTAGAGACTTTGATACTTTTTCTGTAAAATAATACTGTGCAAACTGTAAAATATTCATTCTCATATAAAGTTGGTACAATATGATATACAAAACTGTTGAGTTGACAAGGAAAGCTGGTGCTGACTACTTGTTGAAAAAAAAAGGCTGCCATGTCACATGCCTGTCCCAGGACAAGATTCCAGAGAGACCTTGAGTTTCTTAGGTGGGCAAGGCCATTATTTAAGAAAGAATCCAGCAATCCAAACACCCACAAATCTAGGATTCTCTGCTAATTTTCAATGTTAACTAGGTGATTTCACTGTAACTTTTGATGCAATAGTCTAACAGATCAGAACACAAAGTCCTCTGAATATTTCTTTCCAGAGTTGATTTTGAGATTTACTATTAACCAACATTGTCCTTCCTGAAACTCAAGTTTAACTTTCATTAAAATTCAACAATTCTGGAGGAGGCAGAAACTGTGGTAATAAAAGTTTAAAGTGAACTGTTATATTAATTTTATTTGTGTTTATAAAACTGAGAAAAGAAGATTTGTATACAAATATCACAAAACAACATCAACCATTGAGTAAAGGTGATTCGTCAATGCACACTTGAACAGAAGAAAATTTTGTTGGTTTTAAAATTCTGGCATAAATATGTTAAAGCTGACCAAAAAAAAATCAGGGCAAGCTACATCACTTTTTCATACAAAAAATGTACAAAAACATTAGCCTCTAACTAGATAAACATAATACTTGTCCTCACAGTTTGACATTGAGTAACTGTGTGTTTTGAAGTATTGAATTGGAAGGTGATAAAAAATAGCTCATATCCCGTTAGTCATCTCAGGTGACTTCAGTCATGGAGGCCGAGTGATTCTGCAAAGCAAACACAAACAGATATAGTCTTAGGTTGGGTTTACAAACTCTGGGACACATTTACTCTCCCTGAATATTTCCTCTCTTCTTTGTCTCATAAGAGTTTGATATTCCCTTTTCCCATTCATGCCCTGCCAAGGTTCCTTAAACGCCATTAATTTTTCATTCAAATTTTCCCTTACTCTTACCAAAGTAGAATCATTTCTTCATTTAAACTTTTCTCTATATAATTTTGTTTTATTCTTAATTATATTCCAATGCAAGTATTTAAAGATCTCAGAACATGATTCCATCTAATAATAAATGGAAAAGACACAGAAATTCAATATCCTAAGTAGACAGTTAAGTCTATGGTATCACCATTTTTGAATCAAGAATTCTTCAGAATCATTTGCAAATATTAATTTTTTTTCTCATTCCACACTTGCTGAGCCAAAATTCTTTAGGTAAGGTTCCAGGCATCTGTGGTGCAGCAGCAATTGCATTTTTCTTTTGTGTAGTTAAAGAAAAAGTAATACTTGACATTATGTTTAATAGTAAATAATTTTTATTGTTTTTTCCTTGGCTCATTAATAAAATTATTAGTATAGCTTATATCAGAGAGCTGTCTAGTGGTGAATCATTAAATAATGAAAATATTTCATACTGACCTAAAATATGATAATTACAATGGGAAGTGATTTATTTTTTTGGCACCATCTATAAAAATAGCTTAGTAATAAATATAAATAAGATTTCAAGATATCCAGACTATCATAGAAAACAAACATTTTAGTAGACTCTCACATACCAAAAAGTAGTGTTCTAACTAAAATGTTGTTTTATTATCAACTGGTTCCTGTTTGCTTAAAACAATTCACTCATCCCAGCTTTTCCACTTCCTAGCTATGTGACCTTGGGCAGGTAATTTAATGATGCTGACTTTATAGTATTTTTACTTTTAATCTGTGAAATGGGAATTATCTACTAAATATGGTGATTGTTGAAAGAAATATATATTTGTAAAGCACTTAGCAACTATCTATAAGTAAAAGTAAGTGTTTCATATTATCTTTTTAGGCTTTCAACTGGCAGATCTTTCCCTTGGCCTTCCTTCTTAGATTTTTTTTTCCTTAAATTGAGACTCACATAGTGCTTAAAGCATCAGATCAAAAATATTTGGAAAAAAATTCTTCACATATTGACCATATAGAGAACTTTTTTCATGGTTATTGTTCGTTAAATAATATAGCAATGATCAGTATTTACATGGCATTAGGTATTCTAAGTACTCTAGATATGATATAAAGTAATATATGGGAGTTCGTGTGGAGTTATTCACAAATACTACATCATCTTATATAAACATCTCAAGCAAACTTGAATCTTGGCATCATCTAGAGTTCCTGTAACCCATGTCCTGTGGATACCAAGGAATAACTGCTGTGTATGGAATAATTAATTACTAAATCAAATTGACCTCTCATGTAAATAGTCCAAATCTCCTGAATGTAATAGTACACTGGAATTCAAAGTACTCTAAAGCTTGTTGGTTTAAGTAAAACTTTCCTAAGAAATTCTTGAGGATTTATGACTGCCAACCCCAGGTTGAATTCAGGTCTTCTTTTTTTTGTTTTGGTGTTTTTGAGATAGGGTTTTGCTGTGCAGTTCAGACTGGCTTTGAACTCATGGCAATCCTCCTCCGCCTCCCGAGTGCCGGGATTACAGGTGTGCACTACTACTCCCAGCTGAATTCAGGACTTCTTGAGGGAAGAGGTAAAGATATCTTTCTTGAGAGCATTTATAATGAATTAATCAGATTCTTACTGATGCTAGTGGATTCAGTGGTGTCCTGCCTCTAGTACGGAAAAGGTCATAGCCTGTGGATTTAGTTTCTTAAAACAATTTTAATATACCTGTGCACTTAAGGTTTCCAGAGGGCTTTCTATCCTTGGGAAAGCCATTAGGGGTACTCCACGGGAATCCTCAGATTTGGGTTTGGAAGGAGATCCTTGTGTTCCTTTAAAGTTATGAACCACACACATTCCCTGCAGGATAAGGGGAAAAAAGATTGGGGTCAGACTACAGCCATCAATGCCTGACCATCTCTGACTGTGGCAAGGCCTTTCCCCCTGACTGTCAGCAGCATGGGGACTTTTTTTCTTTGAGTAGGTGGATGGGTAGGAACCAGGGGAAGACTTGAGGTATCTGCTGAGCACATTTTAAATGCTGAGGAAGCATCTCTTTGTTCACCAGATAGCCACAGGCAATCATTTCACCTCATTAACCCTGTTTCCTCTGCTGTAAAATGGGAATAGGAATATCTACCTAATAGATTTGTAACAAGGAAAGATGATGAATATAAATCACCTTTTAAGAGCAGTGAATATTTACTGAGGATCATTATGGGTCTGACACTGTCCTGAAGGTTTTACTTCATCTTATTTCAGCCATCCAACAATTTTCTGCAGAAGGTCTCTTATCATATCCAGCATAGATAAATGAATCTCGATAATATCCAAGGTCACACAAAGATTTTAAACTCCAGAACCCACCGTACTATTTTGCTACTGAATAAGGGACAAATATATAGCTATTACTCAGTCAGTGTTGGCTGGTCTTTAACTTCTACATGAGATGAGCACCTTCAAAATATGTGACTATTATTTACCTGGATTAAATAACTCACATGTGGTAGTTTTCTTTTATTTCTACCATCTAAAAACTTTGAATTAGTACCCACTTTCCATTATTTTCTACCAGAGTCATAACCTACTTCTTTTTTTTTTTTAATCTTCTCTGCTTTTTTTGCCTGTGTACTCTTCTCCTGACTATCTTCCATTATTGTGCATCTCTGTTTCTTCATCTAGGGTTTTTGAATTTTTCTTGGCATTCTTCAAACCAGGCAGAACATTTACATAAACACTCTTTATTGGGATCACTTCTATCTTGTTCAATAGCAGCTTAAACTTTTTACATTTGGGAAATGGGTGAAAAGGCAGATACAGGGGCCCTGGGGTTGAGAGATTGAGGTTTGATTCACGGCTTATTGGTTAGGTGGCTCTGGGGTGAGCTACTTACTTTGCACCTCACTTTTTTAATCTGTAAAATGAGGACAAAGTATCTCTAGGTTTGCCCTAGGAACACATACTTTGATGTATATTAAATGAAAAGTATGTAGTAATTACCCCAACAAATAATTTCTTTCTCTTTGCCTCCACTTATTATGGGAAACACCAACGTGTAATTCAATATCGAATGTACGCAGCCAATATGTTACTATTCTCAGTTTTTATTCTTTTCTCTCTTTCTATCTGCTCTCCAAATCTCTGCTCTGCAATACCTCCAGTCTCCTCCTAAACATGCCTCCTTTTCCTTTCCCCAGCTCAGTGTGTCTGTCTCTGAGGTATGTACATATGCGTGTGTACATGCAGCTAGATTAGTCTTTATCATGCCAGAGCAGTTCAGTAACAGATAGGGATGCTAGGCAAAGGTCATTTGGGGAAAACAAATTTTGCGTCAGTTGGGAAACAACTGGAAGGCAATAACAGACCAAATAATAACTGAGTGCTAAAAACAGGGCTGCAGTTATTTCGAAAAACAAGTTCAATGCTAGAACAGAATTTGTATGCGGGCTCCAACAAATACAAAAGTTTTCACAGTTGTCATCCCACAGAGACTTCATAGAATTGCTTGGGACTGTCAGAACTGCCCTTTATTTGCAACTGGAGATGGCTGGTGTCAGTACTGGTGGACATCAAAATTGTTTGGCTCTTCTTTGGAGCCCAAGTCTTCCTTTATTTAACCACTGAATATCCTTGGAAGCACCTCTTTTAAAGTCATTTGTATTCTTCCTCTCTGTTAAAAAAGCTTTCCTAGAGGAATACCTTTTATGAGATATCAACATCTTACAATCAGTTCAGCAACACTTTTCCTGTAACTTCACTCAGAGAATTTGTATTTCAGTGTCTCATCTTTCACTATATAAAAAAATGAATCTTTTTGAAGTAACACTGAATCATAATAGAGCTTCACAATCAGTGTTCTGAATAAATGTGTATTTTCTGTGTGCATCTTAGCAGGCAAAATTTTGTGAACCTGAGTTACAGAATGAGACAGGCATAAGTGTATTATGTAAGGTGTGGAGGACAGAGTGAAGGTAAAAAAATAAGTTATGTGACTGTCAAATCAAGTGACCTGTGAGGTCCTAACGGGACATAGACTGCAATAGGCAGAATAGAAGAACGGGTGTCTTTTGAGACCACGATGGTTTTTTCTCCTTGAGGAAGCTTTCTGAATATCAGTAGGGGATTTATTTCATGCAGAGTATTTGAGTTTTCAGATCTGGAGACTTACTGTAAATCTTTCAGGAGCTATTTTAAATTTTTGAAGGAAAAAATTAGAAAAACCTGCACTTGGTGGTGTGCCATGCAATGGAATACTGCATGGCAGTAAGAGGAAGAAGGTATTGATACATTTTACAACATGAATTAGTGTCATGAAAGACACCAGTGGAATAATCATATTATGTGATTCCATTGATATGAGAGCCTAAGCAGAGATACTAATGTAGAATGACAGAAGATCAGTGATTCTCTGGGCTAAGGGGAAAGAAGGAGGAGAGATATTGCTGTACCAGTAGGTCCAGATTTATCAAATGGGATACTTTATGTGCCATGCGCATATGCCTACCATACATCAATAACACTGACAAAAGGAAAAACAAAAGCAATAGAATATAAATTCTTTTTTTCCAGTCCAACTCAGATTAAGGGATTTTGTAGGTGAACAGGCTTCCAGGCCATACCTATCTGAAAAACTAAAACTTCATCAGAAAGGGAGACCCATGGATAAGACTGAGTTAACCAAGGTTGCTCACATTAATTTTTGGTGGGAATAAGATGCCCAAAGAGGTATGTCCAGGGACCAAGAAGTCTGAAAAGGGGTTGGTGTGATTAGGGGCAGTGTATATATTTCTGAGCAGCATGTGCATACTGTGATGACTCTTGGGCTAGCGCTGAGCTTCTCAGGATGCTGGGGGAGAAGGTGTCTGCTCCTACCAGCGCTGTTTCTTTCCCTAGAATCATTGAGAATAAATCCAGAAAGAAGCCTGGTTTCAAGGCATGTCCAGTCCCAACTGCTGGCCCAGTGTTGAAGGGAGTGGAGAAAGACACCCTTGCTGGAGCAGTCTTGTCCCTGACTCCCAGAAAGAACATGGCCAGTCATATTTCTGAAAGAAAAGCGCTCTGAAATAACTCTTGCAGCAAAAGGATGCATGATACCTGCAGAAGAACTGCAACTCCAAAGGCTGGGACAAAGCTCGCCATAACTTTAGGCATCTTTGCAGAGGGTATAAGAGGAAACCAGGCGGAACGAAAGAAGTTGACCTACCAGAAACAAAGCCACCGCAGTGCCTAGGATGAAGCCTGCTATCACATCTGAGCAGTGGTTCCGGTACTCGGAGACGCGGTTGAGGCCTGTCAGGAAGGCTGTGCAGAGGGTGCCCAGGCACAGCACGGGCTTGGCCAGTCGACTGCTCTTGGTCTTGATTGTGCTTGTGATGTACATCTAGGGGGAGAGAGAAACCAGGGAGTGACCAGAGGACCTCCTCACACTGGTGAGTACGCATGCATCTACCTGAGCAGGGGTCGTGCCAAAGCACCTGTACCAATCACTTTTCCTGAATGAGTCCACTGACCTACCCAGGCAAGCTGAGCTAGGACACTAGTGCAGCGGTGGCAATGAGGAAGTGTGCATCAGTCTTTTCTAGTCCAGAGGGCATGTGAACAGAAATGACGATGGTTACATAGGAATGACTGTACAATAATGATTGGATACAGGACAGGTAGTTTGTATGCAAGAAATCAGAAAATTAATTAGAGGTATTAAGGAAACCCAGACAAGCTTTTACGTATCAAATAACTCTATAAGAATGAATTCCATGGCAAGACGACTAGGTAGGTAAGCAATGGCACGTTTTACCTTTTTTGTCTCTCATAGTCCTACCTGCCTCTCCACACTTTCAGGCAATAATGTAAAAGTGCGAATTGATGAATTGATAAACTGAATTAGAACTGCCAACCCGCTGTCATGCACATAGGTCTCAGTTGTGCTGGGCAGTCGATTCCCGAGTTTATTGAGATAGTTGTGATCATTTCCATCTATTCATTCGCTCCGAGTGTTTTAAAATATCGAACGTTTTCGCGTGTGTCACCACATACAACAGGATAGTGGATGACGTTCCATTTCAGGAGCTGGGTAAGACTCTGCAGTTGCATAGGCTCCGTTAGCAAATGTGTCCCTCTTGTGGTTCAGTTTGGAAGATGTGTCTCTCTCAAAGATTACCACCGACAATAGTTACAAAGGACCACTAGAGGGCATTATTAACCCATCATTTCGTAACTGGGATGCATTTCGTAACTGAAAAGTAACAGGCGGATTTACTTAAGTTATAGCATATAATGTATGTGTCCTAAACATAACATATAAATCTCATTATTCTATATAATGAGTACCTTACAAAACGGTGAGCTCAAAGTACCATAAACTAAGTCAGGTATGGAAATACATACTTGAATCCTTCAAGAGCTCTGGGAGGCTAAAGCAGGAGAATTGCAAATTTGAACCCAGCTTGGGCAATTTAACAAGACCCTGTCTCAAAACTTTAAACAAATTTTAAAAGGCTGGGGACATAGCTCAGTGTGAAGGCCCCAGGTTCAATCTTTAATATCAATGCAGAAAAAGTTACATAAATTACAGCATATTATTGTTTTGGACTGTATGGAAAATAGTACTTGAAATTTTTGCTATGTTTTTTTATATTCCTGTACGTTTTCTAATGACATCTTTTATAAATCTTTTCCATAGTAAGGTGAACTATTAAGAGCATGGGTGTATGGTTAGTATTCTTTATGGTATCACCCAGTACCTAGGAAATATTTGTCGAGTGTTTTTATTAGTTTGTTTCTTTTTCAGTTGACAAAAATTATACATATTTATCAGGCAAAGTGTGACACTTTGGTATATGTACACACTGTGTGATACTCAATCAGGATAATTAGCATATACTTCACTAGAGTAATTTCTAAAACCACTTAACACATAACAGAGGCTCAGAAAATATTGGAACAATGGGAATCTTATAATAGGCTTTATCTGATTATAATCTGGTTGTGAGGCATGGCTTGAATTGGACTATATCTGAATCCTTGATAACACACACTTCAGCAGTATCTATTCTGCATGTGCTCACTATATTTGTTTCCTTCTTCCCCACTGAAGTTTATGTCTCATTGAATGATGAGGCAGTGATTTCAGTAAGAGATTTATTTTTATAATAACATTATCAACATTAATTTCATATAGAAGTGACCTAAATCTGATAAAAATACAAAATGAGGCACAAAAGTAAATTGTTTTATACATATTAGGTTCTAGATAATTAGGACAAAGTGATATTCTGAAAATTGGAAAATACACTGGTTGCCTCAGAGAGCTTTATTTGTTTAAAATAAACTTGGCATAGACTTTTCTTGGTAAAAAGCAAAGAATTCTAACCAAGAAGGAATTAATCTGCTTTGTAATCTGAGGCATTTGCATTATTTGTGGTTATGTTTCTTTAGTGTGAGGACAGTTGAAATCATTTTATCATGTATTCATTAAAAAATAGAGCTAAAAGGAGTAAGTAGGAGACTCATATTGGACAGTTGGGGGTTAGCAAAATGATCCCTAGATGAGACCCTGGAAGTCACGCGAAAAGGTATCTGTTCAGGTTCTGTGAAAGAGAATATTCACCAAGTTATTTTAAACTGCTGCATAGGGGCTGGGGATTTAGCTCAGCGGCACAGCGCCTGCCTGGCAAGTGCAAGGTCGTGAGTTCGATTTCCGGTACCGGAAACCAAAAAATAAAAAAAATAAAAATAAACTGCTGCATAGACCAGACCTGTAGTCATCCTCCCATCCACACACATGCTCCAGGGGAAATGGTAGAAGCCTGCCCCCTGGGGAGGCGGCAAAGGCACATTCAGAATGGAGAATGCAAAGAATGGATAGTTTGACAGGAATCTTTCCTCCATTGCTCACTGAGAATCACTAGACCAGTCATATCCTGCATATAAGATAAACTGAAAGAATGGGATCTTCCTGACTAACATTCATGCCTCCATTGGAAAGTGTCTATGACGTCCATCTGCGACTTTATGCTATCAGTGTGTGTCTTTGAGGAGACCCCTGACTTCTATGTTCTGGAGTCAAAGGAAGCACAGGCCAGAGAAAGGTGAAATGATTTCTAGAGGAATTCACTTAACAAGTACCAATATTAGAAGGCACCATTGCTTCTTCTCTGCGAGGAAAATATTTAAAGAGCACATTCTACTCGAATGGGAAAGTCAAAGGCAATATGATCTGATGAGCAGTGACATGAGAACTTTAGGATGCTGGGGTTCTTCTAGGACCACCCATCTCTCCCAGCAAAATGATAGAAAGAGTATCAAAAGAAGCAAAGGAAAGCTGTCTTATTTATCCTGGGTCTGTGCTCTGCTGGGGCACTCATTTACACCTAAATTCTAGAGTGTGCTGCTCTGGAACCAACAGAAATGCTGGCAGAGTGCTGTTATGGTTGGCAGGAGAACTGCAAACCTGGTGCCAGAGTCTGAGTCCCAGCTCTGATTGTTCTTAAACTATTCTCTGAGCTCCAGTTTCTGCCGCTCTAAAAGGGGATCATGTAACTAGGGGATTATTAACATTTCTAGAATTAATATCCTTTGGTGGTTCAGGATATTATGTTGGGATCCTGGCAGTGGGGTCAGGGTGGGGGCTTTTTTGTCAACAGTATCATCTGACATAGGAGAAATGTGTTGCATGAGTGACAGCAATGGAAGAATGGAGGTGAGAAAGAGACATCTCAACAGAATCTCATTTGGGGGAGACAATAAAACTTGCACACTCACCGTGGCATATAAGGCAGAGTAAATGCTCAGAGCAGCATGTTTGGAGGGAAAGGATCTCCGAGCCTTCTCTATCACTTCCAGGTCCCCAGTACAAATGTTCCCGTTGTTTACAAACTGGTGGTGTGCCCGGCAGTCTGTACTGGTGTAGTTCGGCTTGCACACTGTCAGGAAGTACGGTGTGAGGTGCCCAGTGACCACTTGTCCAGCATTTACAAAAATGTCAGTCACAAAAAGTCCAAACGCAAACACCCCTAGAAGGAGATTTAAAAGCAGTAAGAATATTGACATGCACTGTTGGTTGGTTTTGCGACTGAGAGCAAACAAAGCAGTAAGTGTCCATGGCAACTTACCAAAAGAACCCTAAGGCTCTCCAGAGTCAAATATTCCCCTCCCCTTTATCTTTTCAAGGAGTGGAGCCTGCTTCCAAAATCGCCATTTCTTTCAAACTGAGGCAGACAATCCACTGTTAGTATGTTATTGTTCTGTATAAGTAATTCAGAAACAGCATAGCCTAAAGGAAAGAATTTGAAATTTGTAGTCTCAGACACCTGGGCTCCAGATGCATCTTGGGTGACTATTATGATTTAGGTTTAAATGTCTTCCCAAAGCCTCATGTATTCGGAAACTGATTACATCATGAGTGGGCTATGCTCATCAAAGGATTTGTTCACTGATGAGTTTAGTAGCTGAACACACCATTAGTAATGGCACCAGGAAGACATGGGTCCTAGGAGCACGACCTGGAAGAGTGTATTCTTGTCTCTGGTTACTCCTTTCACTTCTATTTCCTGCCTTGTATGAGTTGATCAGCTTTGCTCTGTTGTGCCTCTCTGCCATGCTATTTCTGCCACAGAGTCCACTAGCCATGGACTGAATGTGCCAAAATCAACCCCTTTTTCCTTTAAGATGTGAGTACCATGTATTCTGTAATGCAAGAATTACAATAACGTGAGTATTCTGTTCCAGTGATGGGAAATCTGACCGATACAAAAAATTGGTACCAGAAGTGGAATTGTTGCTGCTACTGTACCTGACCATGTGGTTAACCAGCCTTTGGGATAAGTTTGGGAAAGATTTGGATATGTTGGACAGAGAGGGATGCTATAAGCAGAGACTGATGAGAGATTCTGCTCAGAGCTGTGAAGGTCAGAATGCTAATAAGAATGGAGACAGTAAGAGTTAGGCTCATGAGTGTTCAGCTGGGCATGAGGACTCTACTGGAAATTAGACTAGAGGCTACCTGTGCTACTTCCAACCAGGAACTTGCCTATGCTTTGTCCATATCCTGACTTTGCATGAAGCTAAATTTAAAGGTGATGGACTAAACTGATGGAAGAAACTTTAAGGCAGCCCAATATTCAGGCTGTGGCCTGAGTTCTGCTGGCTGCTTTTAGCCAAATCTACAGGGAAAATCAGGAGAAAAAAAAGCAGAACTGAATAATTTTTAAAATTTGCAGCCTGGCCAGAAAGGAAGCACATACAACGTTAGGTTACTAACAAGGTAGCATTAAACAGAAGCCAGGTGAGGACAATAGGACAGATGGCTTGACGGCTCCTTAGGAATTAGCCATATTCAACCATTCATAGAATCAAGGATGTAAAAAGCTAAACACCTTAAAATCCTTGTTTTAAAAAGAGAGATCCAGGATACCTAGCTCATTCAGTGCCATCTAGGGAAATATATTCCCAAGTTTGACCATCCACTCAGAGACTACTACAGTCATGCTGCAAGGAGGTTTGGTTGCTGCTTGAGCTGGCTCAGCAGACCTTAGTATCAACCAAATGATACTGTCATTTTAGGCATGCTGAATGCAAGAGTTGTAGGTCAGGGAGGCTTTCACCCAGATTTCAAAAGGCCTGGGAAGCCAGGCAATGTATCCCTGAGAGGGCAGCTGTGAAAGTGATGCCAAAGGTGCAGGGTAGACCCCAGGAAGCTGGAAATGCCAGTAATGAGGATTATTTTCTGAGAAGAGTGAAGACAGAGAGTGGAGCCAGTCCAAGAGAGAGACCATATAGGCTGCCACTAGCAATGCCACAGGGGTGGGGCTGTGCAAGTCGCACGGAGTTCACCTCTTGGCATAATATATTTTGGGTGCTGGACATGGATGTACAAGATTTACTATTTGCCTGCTAGGTTTTGTCGTGCTTTGGTGCCATTCCTTTCTGTCCCCACATTTCTCTTTTTTGGAATGGGAATGTTTGCCCTGTGTCACTGCATGTTGGAAGTATTGAGCATTTTTATTTTTACAGAGGCTCACAGTTACAAGTGTACCTTAATATCAGAGAAGACTGTGGACTTACACTTTTGGCAATGCTAGAATTGTTAAGACTTTGATGACTCTTAGAGGTAGACTAAATACATTTTGCACAAAGAAATTGGAAAACCATGGTAGATTTTCACGAGGCTAAACTCAAAGTGTTCATGAGGCTGTGATCCTTCTGAAACTGCTGACCAGACTTCCTTGCTCTTCCAGCTTTCAGGAGGCGTCTCTGTTCCTCAGCATGGCCCCTTTCCAGCATTCACAGCATTCTGAATTCTGCTGCCATTGTCACATTTCCTGCTCTGACTCTGGCCTTCTTGACTTTTGCCCCACTTCACATGGTACTGGGGCCTGAACTCACGGACTTTATACTGAGCTATATCTCCAGCTCTTGTTAAATTTTGAGACAGGGTCTCACTAAGCACCTAGGCTGGGCTCAAGCTTGTGATTTTCCTGACTCTTGCCTCCCAGAGTCCTGGAGATAAAGGTATGTGCTGCAATGCCTGACTTGCGTGACTCTTTTAAGACCCTTTGCAGTTATATTTGGTCCATTTGGAAAATGCAGAATAATCTCTTCATCTCAAGATCTTTAATTCCATCACAACTGCAAATTCTCTTTGTCTATGTAAGGTAACATATTCATAGGGACATGGCCGAGTTTTGGTGATGTGGCCATTATTTTTACTCAGCTGTTTGTCTGAGAACCCTGTAGGTAGGCTATTCTTGCTAGATTTTACCTAGAAAGTAAATGCTACAGGGTTAGCCTCAACAAGCTTGAATATGGATAAACAGGATTGATTTTTAAATTTAAATTTATTTTTAACTAATACATAAAAGCATACAAATTGTACATATTTTGGGGGTGCCAAGTGATATTTCGATATATGTGCATATTATGTAATATTTAAATCAAAATGTGTGTGTGTGTACGTATGTGTGTCCTCAAACATTATGTTATATTCTGTAGTCACCCTACTGTTCAATACACACCAGAACTTCTTAATCCTATTCAACCATAATATAGCAGCCATTGGCCAAACTTCACCCCTTCTCTACTTCTCATTATTCTCCTTAACCTCCGGTAGTCACTGTTCTATTCTTGACTTTTAGGAGATCCATTTTTCTAGATTTCACATATGAGTAAGATCTCACAGTACTTGCTTTCTGTGCCTGGTTTACTTTGTTTAGCATAATAATCTCTTGTTTCATGATGCTGTCACAAATGACAGTATTTAACTCCTTTTTATGGATAAATAACATTGCATGGTGTATAAGTACCTCATTTCCTTATGCATTGATCAGTAGTTAATAGACACTTAGGTTTTCATTTCTTGGCTATTGTGAACAGTGGTATAGCAAGAATGTGTGTGCAGTGTCTCTTTCACACACTGACTTCATTTTTTTAGGCATCTACCTAAAAGTGGGTTTATTAGATAATATGGTAATTCTGTGTTTGGTTCTTTTTTTATTTTAAAAATTAAAAAATGACAAAACAACAATGAAGACAAAATCAAAACAGCACAAAAACAACAAAAATGAAACATGAACTCAAGACAAAATGATAGAAATTTACAGTGGTTGCTAAATTACATACTGTTATCTTCAACAAAGTTGCTCAGTCCATTAGACATAAGAATGTAAGACTGATCAAGCAAAGACAGTAACAAGTAAAAAACAATAAAAATAATTTAAAAAAACGTTGGAAATGATGCAGAGCTTCACCATACAAAATGGTAAGAGTTCAACAATAGTCCTTATACTGCACATTGTTTTCAGATCAATTACCAAATTCAAGGGTCTTGCTATGCAGTCTAGGCTGGCCTTGAACTCACCATGCAGCCCAGGCTAGCCTCGCATTTGTGGGAATTCTTCTGCCTCAGCCTCCCAAGTGCTGGGATTATAGGCTTATGCCACCACACCCAGCATCTATGTTTACTTCTTTGAAGAAATTTCATATAATTTTCTACTAAATTATATTCTCACCAATAGTGAACAACACTTCCTTTCTCTCCACATCTTCATTAGCACTTGTTATCTTTCATCTTTTTTGTCTTTTTTATAATGGCCATTCTTTTTTATAATGGTCATCCCTGGGGCAAGGTGGTATTTCATTGTGTTTCTGATTTGCCTTTCCCTGGCTATTAATGAAGTTGAGCATCCTTCTGTATACTTGTTGGCAATTTGTACGACTAACAGAATTCTTTATAAGAAGCTTTGTTGTGAGTTGTTTCAAAGCCCATTCATTATATCTATAGATTATCTGTTCACTATGTTGAGAGAGTCCGTATAAAATCCAAGTATTATGAGTCCCTTGATGGGATGAAGACCAGTTTTCAAATGCAGCTGAAGAAGACATTGCAATGTGTGGGAGCAGGATTAACATCAAGGGTCAGGCTGTAGTTTCAATTACATTATGGCTCAATTTTGGCTCCTCTATTCAATCTCCTGAATCTGCAAATTGTGCTCATTTTAGCCCCCAAAGTTAATCTATTATAGCAGAAGTGAAGACAGATTTGGCTGAAATCTTCATCTGGGTTTCATTTTGATCTGTATTGATTGCTATAATTTTCCTTGCTGTGGCTTTGCCAGAACATGCTCTATCACAATAAGAATGGACTCTTTTAATAGCTTCAGCTGGCCCACGCTCATATGGTGTGACCTCTACAGCAGCCAATCATTGATCATCCATGGCAGTTTTCACCCCCGGGTTACAGAAGTCTGAATGGTTGAAAATTTTTTACATCTTCAAGCAAGATTTTCAAAACCCAGGTCCCTGGCTTTTTCAAGGGGCAGGAAAGTCTGTCTAGACATACTTTTCCAGGAAACTAGGGTAATTTATGATTTGAAAAAGAGAAGGTGACAGCATTTTCCTCTGGCATTTTATTTGTGCCTCCAATTAGGGCAGGTTTGTTCTTTCTGAGATGGAGGATTTCTAGCCCCCTGGGATCGGTGTCTGAAGTGCTAGTCTGAAGTGGCTGTGGTCACAGTGA